TATCCGTGGTATTGTCGAGGGTTCCCGTTGGTATATAAAACATTCAAAATAACTTTATTTTGGTAAAGATAATAATGTATTAGTATATGGGCACTATAATGTTATAATAGTCTATGTTTAACCACACGATAAATGGCTATAATTAATCATTTCATTTATTTTATCAATTAACTGATTCGATGATGTGTGTGTATAACTATGAATAGTAAGTATGGCTTTATGGCTACATTTTCTGAAGTCCGTATAGATATTGTATAATATTTAAGATGAAAATAATATCATTAAATCGTTTTCATCCAATAGTAGATGCAATTAATTATTAAATATCGCAAAAATGTATCGTTAACTCGTAAAAAGGTGGGCAAGTGGGTGTCGCTCTGCTGTACAGTAGGTTACAAGTGGGTCACTGTATAATGTATGATATTAAATTTGAATTCAACGATATAATATCATTGTATAAGAAAAACGATTCTGAGCGGAGACGGTATGTCAGTCTAGGTATAAGACATATTATAATTTATATACATATCTATGGTATTAAACAAAAAATTGACCTATAATAGGTACCTATAATAAATTCAAATTAATCATATCACAATATTCTTTAGGTACTTATAACGCATTATACATCAACAAAAACCGTGATACTATCATAGATATATAATAATAACATATAATAATCACAACAAAATAACTAAAATAGTTATTCTAGGTTTTATAATATGTAATTTTGTCTAAATATGAATTTAAAATGTCTGTAAAAAATAACTGTGCTCATATATTTTTTAGATTTTTTGGCTACAGTATGAACTATTTATGAGAATCTTTTTTTTAAATTTTCAATCATTAGCTATAAAAACTGAACATTTTATAATTTATTAATTACGATGGTTGATAATTTTCGAGATTATGATAAATTTTGTCAAAATGCGATCTTAAAATGCTTATAAAAAAAAATTGTGCCTATATATTTTTAATATTTTTCAATTGCTATTGTAACAATATATCAGGAGCCTTGTATTAATTTTTTACACTGTTTGGCCCAACAGATAAAACTTTATTGATATTTATAGAAAAAAAAAATTAAAAAAATTGAAAACTGAAAATGTCCGTAAACAGCTCAAAATATTTTCAAAATTGTATGGTGTATAGAAAATGCTAATTTAAACATTCAGAGAAATTTTCATGTATCTACAGTTATTCGTTTTTGAGTTACAACAAAATAAGGAAATCGCCACATGAGAAATCGAGTGAATATCCAATATTGTAAAAATTTGAATTTCAAACGCTCATAAAAATTTAATTTGACGTTCTTATAAACATTTTTTTTTTTTTTATAAAGGTAGATAATCTTATAAGGAATCTTGTATTATATTTTCGAATCTTAGATTTAAAAAGAAAAATGTTTACGAATTCTTAACTCAAAATAATTTGCTGATTTTCGTGATTTTTCAATATTTTGTCAATTTTTGAACTTTAAATGCTTATAAAAAAAAATTGTGACTAAGGATTTTTAATATTTTTCATCTGCCTTTGAAACAATATACTAGGAGCCTTCTATTAAATTTTCAACTTTTCGCAACCAACAAATCATCGTTCCACTCAGAATCTAAAATTAGATTCATATATTTTAAATTTTTTATTTCTCTTAAAAATTATAACTGTTATCACTTACAATAAAATACTTAAACGATATCACAAAAATAAATAACACATTTTTAGTATTATTCTACTAATATTATGTATAATATTTTTCGATAGTGACCTCAACTTTCCTCGCTCTCTTGAGCGTCAACATTATAATTTTTAAAACTTTTAATCTCTTATCATCTTTTTCACTGTTTACGCATTATCTTAAGCTTCTATTTATTTGAACTTCCAACTGTCGAATGAAGTATAATATTATTATTTAATAGGTATGTGTTTAAATGCTATTTATTTTTATTGCGGTAGATACGACAATATCGTATAGTTAATTTAACATTTATTAATTGCCATGTAGTACAGTTTATATAGTCAATTGCTATGTACATGCAGTCGTCATATTTATTAAGTTATGTCGGGTGGTGGTCGGTGGTAACTGGTATTTACCATTTACACAGTATACCTGGAATTCTGGAACGGTGCCACTGTGGCACCAATTAGCCGCCTGTGTCGGACAATTTGGTGGTGGTGGACTGCGCTTAGACTACTTTGTTGAATAATGAATAAATGCCACACAAGAAAAAATTAACTTCGATAGGTACCATATTAAATTGATCACGTAGTCACATATTTCATTATCATTATAATATTAATTGTTATGTGGTAGGTATTGATAATTTTTCAGTGTTAACTGCATAATACAATTTATTTGTACATGTTTCATTTAAACCGAATCATAGTTATTATGGTTCGTTTTGTATTTTTGTTATCTTTAGTCTAAACTCTATAACTATTATTGTTAACTTTGATCAACATCCGTCATATGCTATGAGCTTTCGTCATAGATGAATATAAATTATGTGTAACATACAGTATTTAAATAATATTTTTTACCGGGTTTGTTGTATAAATATTTACATTTCCAATCAAGTAAATTAAATATAATGTACTGTTTGTTACAAATTATTATTCGGTCGGCATATTTTACTTTTCATCACTAGATTTAAAATGTAATACAAGATCTAATCATATTATGTTTCATTTTAACTAGATATTTTTAAGTAAATAGGAAAATATGGTTCTGCCGTTCTGGAAATATTTTTGGGCTTTAAAAAGTTTTATGAAGAATATATTTAAGATTAAAAGCATTTTAGTGTCTTTCACTGGAAATATTGATATTGCTAACCTAACAAAGAACTTTTTGAGGCAACAAAATTGATCCAAAAAGTTGTCCGAATTATTGCTTTTAAATTGTATACTTACACGTAGGTACTAGATTAATCACAGTTTCAGAAATTATGATTTGAACAAAATATTGGCACATTTGAGTAAACTACCTACCTAATTTTACTGATAATAATTTTCAGTTTAAAATTACGTATATTTGGGTTCGGTTTAAAAGTATCCATTTATCACTATATATTTAATCATCATATCAGATTAATCAAATTCTTAGCTAAAAAAAAAAATAGTTTAGGTAAGTACTACCTTCACAAATAACCAATAGAACAACAAATGAATAGCTATATTGGTATTTATAAATACGCATGTTTTGTAATAAATATGGGCCTTATGACTACATCTATATGTACCTAGTGAGTCGGACTTGAAAGGACTGGCTCCGCACGATTTCACGACGAGTTCCACTTGTTCTTAGTGTTGCGTCACCACTTTTATATTTGATTATTTGAATAATAGTTTTAGTAAATAAATAATTTCTTTAGTAAATATGTATAAAGTTTATTTGTTTACTGATACTAAGTTACTGATAAGTCGGTAAAGTAGTGAACCGGTCTAAAGTAAAGTGAAATAAATAATAATATCTAAATTGTAATAGTTCCAAGTTGCAACACCCATCATCTTTATATAAAATATATTTACGTATAGTCCTCAATGTCATAATATTGTGAATCAATGTATCTAATCAAAAAATTCTCTTTTCACTTCTTCACAAAACAATAAAACATGCGTTGATATATTTTAAAATATGTGTTTTTATAGTTTAATAATATAATACTATCCGAAAATAAGTTAAGTAATAATATGAATATAATATAAATATATAATTTAGAATTGAAACATAACATACAAACAATTTCACAAAAATTAAAAGTAATATTTACTACTAAATACAATGGAAATCCAGGTCACTACATAATATGTATTATCGATTAATGATAATACCTACCTATAGATACAGTTAAATTATATAGTTAGTATAATTGTATGAATACCCAAAAAACGGACAACATGCGACAGTACTTATACAGTTATACATTATTTATACGTATAAATGATATTATATTATTAATAAGATATTAGATATTTGTGAATTTAAATAGAACCATTTTTTCAATAAACGTTTATAAAATACTTATAATTTTCTTAATATTGGCTATTTTTTTTAAGTAATTTCTTTACTAAATGGAGTACCTACGTAAAGTTTTAACCACGATTATTATACTATGGTTTTAACTAAAAATTAGATTTTATTAAATTACAGTTAAAGTATGATAAGATATTTTAGGAAGCTATATTAAAAAAAAATCCAGTTAGTACTTCGTTTATAATTACTTTAATATGATATGAATAAATAATTGTAGTATCGGATTTAGCATATTATTAAGGTTAATAATCATCATTCAAAACCATACAGGTTTGCATTTGTTCAAAATATTTCATCGACCGGTGTCATAATTTCATACAGGTACCTTTATACCGCATAGAAAACATTGAAAAAAATCAACTTGAATTCGATTTTTTTTTTTAATGTGTTTTATGAACTTTGGTCGAAATCTAAAACGATTTAAATGAAAAAAAAATAATGTCTAAAGTAGGTAAGTACTTCAATCAATAATTTATCATTACACAAAACACTAATATAATATATTTTATTTAGAGGTCTAATACGTCTAAAACAGTTAAAATTATACTCATCACATTATTATAATATGTTGTTCGATGCATATCGATGCTATTACTCGAAGATGCTTTAATTTGATTGGTTTAATTTAATGATAATAATTTTACGATTTATATAATTACAAAAAGTGTATATTTGGCATATTTGTTTGATGTATCACATGGTTTTTTTTATTTTATGGACATTTATTTTAAAAGATAATCCATAGTCATGTACAATATAATTGTATATTTATCGCATGCCTATCATAGCAAAAATTTCCGATTATAATATACCAAGCGGTATGCCGGTATCTATTCGAGTGAGCGTAAAATATTATTGGTTGTGTGTGGTTATAATATAGTCAGTAGTCGCCTGATCGCCGGTACGAAAAATTGTACTCCTGCCGCTATAATATATTATATTATTTAAGAAGACTCGTAAAGGTGAAAAAATGTCTTTGATTTTCGATAAAAAGTACAAGCTGGACACCAGCGAAAATTTTGACGAATACATGAAAGCTCTGGGTAAGTAAACAATACGCTATTATTTATCGTCTAAAAAATATTCATACGCCGACGTAATAAATTCTAAAGCACATATTTTAGGTATGGAAACAACCCGTCAATACTGGAATGTTGTAAATTACTATAATCGTTATTAAAATTTAAATCGAAAACAAAATTACACTTGATAAAATTATATTTCCATACAATGAAGAAAAGCATTATTACAATATTCAGAGCATTTTTACTTATTTATTTATTTTGATTTAATAATATAATATGTCTTGTAAAAATGTTTCGAACAATATTATTAATTGCCACCATTCCACTATTTTTTATTTTTTTTTTTTATTGGTCTTAAAGTTATACATTTTTGCTTCGACTATTTAGGTCATTAGCATTACTTTTGTATATACATTTACATTTTAATAATAACTTATTCATTTAAAAATAATGAGTATTCCACTATTGATGCTTAATAATTTTGAAAAATGCGTGATTTTTTTAAATTTTTTATTGTTTGTAAATAGTTTTACGGAGTATTAATAGTATGATAAAAATTAATTTGCAAGAATTAACTTTTTTATTATTATTACTTCCAATAACCTTCAAATTGTATGGGATATTTAATAGATTTAAAACGCATTGAAGCAAATCTAAAGTGGTTTTCTGTTGACATTGCAATTGTAGGTATTGATTCAATTATAAAACTATTAATTTAAAACCTAAGTAATAGGTACTTTTAAAATAGAGACATTTTTCAGATTATTATAAAAAATATACATGCCAACACAAGCATACCAAACATGCTCATCTACCCTTTTCTTTGAGCATTTTTGGTGAATAATTCTGTTTAATAGATTAATACCCATTATATGCGTAGCATTAGGTACTCTATAGTCTATACTAATATTATTTATTATGTAGATTTTTGTCAAATAAAAACCAACGACCAACGATGTGTAATTAAATACACATTTATGTTATGTTATTATTATCGTTGTTATTTAAACATATTATATTATAATATTAGAGGCGATCGTTTAATTACTGTTATTGTAAGTATATCTTAACAAATATCTTAACTATAAGTAGGTAATAAAATAAAAAAAAAAGGTTTGGTGCGATATGTTTTGAAAACAATTCACCAGATAAAACTGTATTTAAAAATAAGCAAACACTATTGACCGTGTCAATAAAATCTTTATGACGTACAAAATGTCGTAAATGCAAATCGAGAAATTAAATAATAAATCTATAAATCGTTTCTTACTTAGCTTAATTGTATAAGCTACTTACTTATGAGTAATACATTTCGTCGTGATTTTCTAATTTCTGAATTTATTGGTACAGTGGAACCTCATAACTTGAACGTCTTTAATTTGAATTTTTGATAACTCGAATTTTTTTTTGTCTCCAACCGATTCGAGTTATCGAGGTTTCACTGTATACTTACAATATGGAAATTATAAGCTATTGTTTATGTCTATATATAATATTATAATAATATATAATTATACCTATATTAATGCATGATCATATTATATTATATTATATGACGTGTTCTATCTTGAACATTAAAACAATCGATTTTACTTTTAACTATATAAAGTAAGTATAGGTAGGTATTTACGTAATATTATCACATGTATGTCTTAAACAGAAACAGACAACAGCAAGCTATCCAGTTATTCCAATTTATATAACAAAAACGTTATTTTGGTCGAGTTATGTTAGATTATTGAACTATGAGACTTTATAATAATCTATACTATCATAATAATTATTATTAAATATTTAAATATTATATATTAATCAATATTAAGGTATTAAAATGTTATACGCTTATTATATTATTATATTTAACAAAAAAAGTAACGTGAAATGTGTATCTCATATAATCATTATTATAATCATTACCGTAGCTTAATTCTTATAAATATATATATATATATTATATAGGCATAAAATATAATCACATTAATAAGTAATAACTGTACGATAGTACGAAGCATATGCAATGGTAATATCCAACACTTAATTACGGTTTTATGACTATTATAAAATTAAAAATATAAATATAATATTACATGTTAAAATTGTTTTAATAGTATAAATATTAAATAGCGTTTTTAGTACCTATTTAATCACTGGCCAAGTCCCAATATACGGTATAGGTACCTGTATTATACAAATCAGGGGCGGCCAAACGATCGATCTTGGACGATTTCAAAGTCGATCCCTTTTGTTAGAACTTATATTTGGCAATGGTATTTTCTCACCTGAAAGTTATATAAAAGCTGACCTACTGAGCTATACTTTCTAATGATAATTTAGAGCAGCATCTTTGTTGAGCAGTTAACTTGCTATTATCCAGGTTACAATAAACTAGCCAAAGATTTGCAATTATACGCTTCCAAGCCAAAAATATAATTATTTTGAAATTTAATGCGAAACACTAATTTTTAGATAACTTTATGCTTTAATTTTATTATTTACATATAAGTTTACGTATGTTTATTGTTAATATTAGTGATAAAGACTTAAAAAAAAAGTATTATGTTACGTTTGTCGATCATCAAAAGGAAAAAATATTATATTCTCTGTAGATTTTAATCAAAAGAAGTTTGGCCATCCATATGATAATAATATAGAGTTTAGACAATAGGACACTCGAATTTTTCAAATGCTGTGCAATAAAATTGGCGGGAATCTCGTCCGAGAGATTCTCGCATATCCTATTGTACTTATATTTTATACCTATTTTAATTTATAACACGCAGAAAAGAAATTTCTACGCCTATACATATTGGAGAAAAACTGTTAAAAAAATTGTTTGTTTTTCTACACAGGCGTCGGTTTGGTGAAACGCACATTGGGCAACTCAGCGTCTCCGGTGGTGGAACTGACCAAAACCAAAGACGGAAAATTGGCATTGTCGTCAATTTCGACTATGAAAAACTCAGTGATTGTGTTCAGCCTCGACGAGGAATTCGACGAAGAGACGCTCGACGGCCGCAAAGTTAAATCGATCATCCACCAGGATGGAAACAAGCTGGTGCACGTTCAGAAATCTGACAAGCACAGCGAAACCACGATCGTCAGGGAATTCAATCCTGATGAATTGAAAATGGTACAAAACTAATGACAAAATCCATATCACCTGCCTACACAAACATAACCTCCAGTGGCATATTTATGGGGGGATCAAGGGGATCAATCCCCCCCTTATAGACTGTATATAATATGCAAAAGTTTTCATAGTCTTACTAAACCTACTTAAGACCTCTAACTTTAAAGGCGAGGCTACTAGATAAAATCATACACCCCCCTCCCCCCCAGACAAAAACCTAAATACGCCACTGATTGCCTATTTGCCACTAAATACAGAGTGTAACGGAAAGACCTGACAAATAAAAATAAGAAATTCATAAGTACTATAGTTAAACGTAGGACTATAATTATGATAATTATATGGATGATAAATAATTTATGAAATATACTTATACCAGAAAATTACCGGAAAGAATATTTGAAAAAAGTCATTAGGTAGGTAGGTACGTGTTTCAGAATAATTTACTCCAAAAAAATCTTGAGATTTTACAAAATTTTAAGAATTAGCTACTTGACTACCTAATTAGACATTTTTACCATCAACATTTGTCTAACAATTACATTTCTAAAAAAATTTATTAAAATTTAATTTTGTTTATTTTCAGTTTAAAAAAAATTTCACATGTAGGTACTGTATTTGTAGGAAAAGGGCCTATACATTTTATTTGAAAAAAAATTTTAAATATTGATTAGATCAAAAGTTATTTGATTGGCCAGGTCTTTCTGTTACACCTTGACGATCGGCGTATTTCATAACAATATTTTTAATATATATAATAGAATTACGTCGATCGTTGATCCGATTAAACGATTGCATTTTGTTAATGTGTTATATTAATTTATGATTCGTGTATTTTCAGATCCTAACTATCGACAAAATCACCTGTACCAGAATCTATAAACCAGTCGACTAAATGCATAATACAATATTACAATAATATACTAAACTCGTATTATATTATTATATTATATTGGTAAATGATTCGATCGATTTGGTTATTCACTGAATTAGTGCAGTCCTAAGCAAAATTTGGCTTACAGCCTACACTATAATTTATTAATATATTGTGTTAAATACGATATACGATTAAACAAAAATAAATAATTAATTCATATTTATTTTTAGTCTTATGTTTTTAAATTATTTTTTTATTCATCGCATATCTATTATAATAATTATAATTTATACTTTATATCATACTACCTGTATTACCCGACTTTCCAGGGGGAAAATGAAACAATACAAAATAGAGCGCTCAGTGTAGATATTTCGGTTAGTGTTCCTCAGTTCACCGGCAAGTCGGTGTTTATAGCTTTGGGGACAAATATCCGACCAAGATGTGGAATCCGTCAGGGGTAGATTGTATATGTTATACTTTATATGTACATCGTACCTACTACCTACTATGCAAAGTTTGACCTATTTTAATTTCAGTGTATATAGCTGATAACTTCACGAGAAAAATTGGTTTTAAGTGTACCTTTGCCCGGAAAAAAAAAGATAAAGGAAATATGTAAACAACACAGATTTTTAATAAGTCAAAAAATGGTTTCTTAGAAATTTTTTTTAAATTTCGCTTTATCTGCTAGTAACCAGTGCAGGACTGGCTCGAAAAGGCCCAGTCCGCGATTTGGAAAAAAGGGCACCCAACAGGCAAATGGCAAATGTTTTAATTAGCCCAAAAAAAACTCGCTTCGCTCGCAATACAATTTTCATGTACTTATACATAGTCACATAGAACATTTTTTTTCAATACAATTGCCAACTTCCATATTTATCATACAGCCATATAGGTACAAATAACTAAATACGTAGGTACCTAACTGGAATTCAATCTTTTGATATATTAACTGGTTTTACTATATTTTCAATATAGAAATTATATTGAGCATATTCTAAAATGCTAAGACATTTTCTGCAGGTCCTAAGTAAATTGACGACAAGAGACCCATCAGACTGTTTTTATTATCAGACTGGGGAAATCCCTCCTATCCAACCCACAAATTACGCCACTGGGGCGTAGCCCCTATACTGGCTACATCACGTTCTGTGACATCAAATAAAGAAAAACACCGATTCAAATTGTGCAAGAGTACAATAATTATCCAAAATATATTAATTCAGTTAAAATCAGTTATAATGCGAAATAATACCAAGTCATACGCATACGTCCGTATAAATATAGTATTATAATATTGTTTAAGAAGATGTCAGAGCACTATTTGTTTTCTCTGTCTGGCCCACGCACAACACAGACAAAACGCATTACTCAGAATCTTTTTTTCTATGTTTTTAAGTAATCTTAGAGTAAAATCACCTATTACAAAAAAGATAGAGAATAATATTTTCGAGGGAATGACTTATCGATTTGTCTAAATATTGTTTCAAAACAATTTAAACATAATTTAAATTTACAAAATTTTTTTGTTTATTTTGAAAGTAGAATACAAAGTCAAATAACAATAAAATACAAAATCGATATGTCATTCCCTCAAAAATATTATTCTCTATCTTTTTTGTAATGGAAGATTTTACTCTAAGATAACGTAAAAACATAGAAAAAATGATTCTGCGTTAATGCTTTTTGTATATGTTGCTCGTGGGCCAGAGAGAGAAAACAAATAGTGCACTGACATCCTCTTAATAGTCACAACAATTTTACACTATTTAAAATCAATGATACATATTTGTATATAGACACTAGATAGCTATTAAATTCTTAGAATGATAATGATAATGTCATTATTTAATTTTTTTTTTTCCTTTCATATTTCATTGTTTTAATATTTTTTGAGAACGTCTCAAGATTGTAAACAAAAATACGTTTCTTGATTTGAAAAAAAAATGTTTATTTCGTATTTCTATTTACTCTAAACGAATAATAATAATATTAATAGGTACAAAATCAGGGGCCCCCAATTACCATAATTAAGCCAGGGCCCCGTCCGCAATTGCGGACTAGCGGCCCGGGCCAGTCCGACCCTGCTAGTAACGACCTGCAAGGGTCGGGCCGGCCCGACAAGGTCCTTAAAATGCTCTGCCCTTAGTGACATTGGACCGGGCCTTTGAAATTAAATAAAGGGTTGGACCGGTGTACCCGCGATTATTTACCGGGTGAAATTTAACCTCCCCCGGTAAATTATCCCTAGAGAAATTTTACCCCCAGTAAGTATTCCCTCTTGAAATTTTAACCCACGGTAAATTATTTCTAAAAAAAAAAAATAAAAAAATAAAAAAAAGTTAAATTATACAAATACGATTAATAACTCAAATAAGTATATTATTATATTAATAAAAATGTCTTTATTAAAAGTCAAGTTGTTCATAACCGATTGTGTATAAATGCCAATGTTTAATATTCTAATATGTTTATGTTTGAGTGTAGAATAATTATTAATAAGTTACATACAATGTCTTACTAGATATTGTAAGAAGAGAGTCATCTAACAAGTAACATATAAATTAATATTAAAAACAATTAATTATGAAAAATTTTAAATTAAAAACAATCAAAATAATCAAAAATACAAATGAATAGGTAGGTAATAAAAATAACCAAAACAATGAAAAATACAAACTAAGAGTAAAAATAATAAAAACAATTAAACATGCAAATTACAAATTACAAATTAATAAAAAAATTATTTTAAGTTCATACAGCTGTCATTCATTATCATTTGTGATTGTCAGATAAATATCATCATCCTGAAAGCAAATAATATTATTAGATAACTGAAATGCAGTGAGTATACCAATATTAGTTTAAAATACATTACTTCTTTATCAAAACCAGCCTTTTTTTTCACTTTCAACACAACTTCAAAGTGGTTAGAGTTTTTATGATTGAGGTAAATTGCCATTTTCTTGTAGTCTGGTTTAGCTGATAACTTCAACGAATGAGAGAATCTTAACCATTGATTTGCCGTGAAGGAATATATATCTGCATTAAGAAATGCAGCAGTAAAGTACATTTTTACTTCAGTCGCCCAAACTTTGTCACTTTACATATTACTTTTAGCAATATATTTTTTGGATATTGGAAAATTATTCTACTTTGGTGTTTTGTTTTTTCATAAACTGTGTTATCAATTGTCTAACCTCATAGTGTTGCTCTTCAGTCCCTGTGAGACTTAAAGAATAAAGATATAGCTCTGAAAAAACAATTACCATCAGGTACAGTTGAAGCACTCAAGCACATAATATAATCGGAAAATGAAAAATACTATTTTTGGTTGTTTTAAAATCATCGCTTTGAACATAAGCTAGGTTCGTCATTTTACACTGCTCTTTTTGCCACTTATTATCTATAGGATGAAAACGAAATTTTGTACCATCTGAAAAAATTTAAGTGTCTTTTTGTCTTGCGGTTGATTTTGTTTAGATATTTGTGTATTCTGTTCATCTATTGTCACTATTGGTTTATCTACATCCAATGAGTGTCTATTTACTTTTTTTTTAAAAGTTTTTTCATGGATCCTTTACATGAATAATGTTTTAAATTTGAAATAGGATGTTGCTTTTTAATTAATTTTCCTTTCATTGTTTTTAAAATACAGTTGTTGTTTTTTTGAATTTTTAAAATTGTGTAAGGTCCTGTAAAAGGGGCTTTAGACCAGCCACCTTTTCGATCATCTCTGAGACAATTACGTAGCAATACTAAGCTACCAATTTTAAAAACTAGTTTATTAGAATGACGTGTGTCATACGCTTTCTTTTGCTTTTTTTGACTTTTTTTTTTGTTGTGTGTTACTTGAGTAAAAACAGAATTTTTAATTTGCAAAATTTGCTCTAATCGTTTTTCAAACAAATTTCGATCAACTTCATTGTGTAAGGTATTTGTATCAGCATTAAGATTGTGAGTTAAGCTTAATAAATTTAAAGAAAAAAATACTGTTGAAAAGGATGCATTCATCCACGGCCAAATAATGTAATATTCAATATTTAACTACATGTCATATGTATATCAACCTAATAATTATTTTTATACATTTATAAACTATTATAAATATTATTGTTATTGTTTTATTAAAAGTTCTTGTCTCTTACCTGTATAATATTGCAGTGGGGTTCACCAATGCCGATAACTGCAGCAAATGACAAAAAACTATGGACTGTAAAAATTTTAACGGGGGGTAAATATTTGCTAGTGAAATTTACCGAGGGGGGTAAAATTTCACGGGGGTAAATAATCCCGGTTACACCGGGCTTTTTAAGGATTTATCTATATATATAATCACAATTTAAAATAATAAATAATAATGATAAAACCGACGTTGGTACAGATAGATACATAAAGAGTATACTCTATGGATTGATACTAGAAACAAAAGTTAATGAAAATAATTACCTCAAGTTAAATTAAGTTAAGAGGACACAAGATCGATTAGTTAAAAGTTAGCAGTTAACAAATTATAAATTTAACTCGATAAGTTAAAAGTTCATATAGAAAAAAATATTAACTTAACTCAGTTTAAAAAAAGTTAATCTATTTTAGATTCTGAGTGAAACGATGAATGTATTGATTTTACAATGATGTGTTTTTTTTTATTTTATTTTTTTTTTTTGTGTCTGTCATCACGTTTTAGGACAGTAAAAGTGCTTGGATTTTCTTCAACAGTATCTTTTCTGATAGGAAAGTGAATCTAGTTGGTTCTTTGGGGGGTCAAAAGTAAACATTTTCCAGTAGTTTTCACAAGCGCCGGGAAAAACAACATAACAATTAAGGAAAAACGGGAATTTTTACGCAAAATCGGTTTTCCAAAAAATCGATTTTGATTTTTGGTGTAACTCTAAAAGAAATGAACGTATATACATGGAATTTTCACTGGTTGTTTATATTTGCATTTTGTATACACGATAATATTTTCAAAATATTTTGATTTATTTTTAACTGTTTAGGGACATTTTAATTTT